GGTGATGCGTAATTAGTGACACAAAAGTTAACTTAGTTTTGCTCGTAATATAATCTTTTTCATTAAACCATATAAATTTATTTTGGTAAATTGAAGATTCTAGTTTTATTAAAAAAAAAATTATCCAAAAAAAATGTTAAACGGCCAAGAAAGAGCAGCTCTTCAAAAAAGCGTCAAAAAATTTTTTGTAAAAAACCCAAATGTGACCAAAGCCGAAGACGCTAACCATTTTATTAAAGAAGGAATCGCTCGCAAAACAGCATATAGATATATCAATCGACAGCTTGATGGACAATGTTTAAAAATAAAAAAAAATTCTGGTCGCCCGTCATCGTGGACTCAAGAAAAAAAAGCGAAACTTAAAAGGTTGACCAACAATCGAAAAGGTGTAAGTCAAAGAAAGCTCGCACGTAAATTCAACGTAAATCAAGCAACAATTTGTAGACAATTAGCCAAAATGAACATAAAATATCGGAAACGCGAAAAAACACAGAAATACAATGATGAACAATGTCTAAGGGCACAAAAAAGAAGTTGAAAACTCGTCAATCACCTCTACAAAGAACAAAGCGTTTTAATTTTGGACGACGAAAAATACTTTTGTTTTGCTGGCGATGAAATGCCTGGAAACGCCGGTTATTACACGAACGACAAAGAAAAATGTCCAGAAAATGTTCGTTTTGTGGGAAAAGAGAAATTTCCGAAAAAAATTCTTGTTTGGATTGCATTATCTGAGCGTGGAATGTCGAAACCACTCTTCCGGTCGTCAACCTCGGCTGCAATAAAATCCGAAATTTATATCAAAGAATGCTTAGAGGAACGATTGTTGCCATTCATAGATAAGTATCACGATGATTTAAATTACATATTTTGGCCGGATTTAGCTAGTGCCCATAGAGCTAAAGAGGCAATATCGTGGATGAATGAAATGATTAACTTCGTGCCGGTCAATATGAACCCTCCTAATGTCCCCAAAGCCATGCCAATCAAAGACTTTTGGGGAGTATTGGCTCAGAATGTGTATGAGGGTGGATGGGAGGCCAAAAGTGAACAACAACTGATTCGGCGTATCGAAGCCTGTCTGAAAAAAATTGATTTGACATTTTTACAATCCCTTATGAAGGGTATCAAAACTAAATTGAGATTAATATCCGATCAAGGCGTTCAATCGATTTACAAAAAATAATTTTCAAAAAATAAATATTGTGTTATTATTTTTTTTAAATGAAAATTTTTTTTTCTTTTATTTCTTTAAAAATATAAGACTTTGATTTTTGTGTCACTAATTATGCATCACCCGTTATCAATACTATGTCTAAAAATAATTTTAACAGATTTTTGATCCTGTGGTGATTTTTAAAGTGATCCTGAGGTCCCACAAAGCCTTCAAGTATGATTTTAGATCAATTTTCAAAAAATCAAATCACAATTTTACAAATTCAAAGTGAAATGTTATTATTCTATAAATATAATAACATAATTTAACCAAAGTCATATATTTAACATAAAGTTAATCAGAAAAACAAACAAACAAGTTAATGCTACATTTAACATTTTAACTTAAAAAAAAATGTTTTAGTCAATTTTGTGAACAAATATAACAAAAAATGAATGACTGAAAAATTAGTAATTTACTTGAAAAGTGTTTAATCTGTTATACTCAACACACTCATATAGTACTTAGTACTACACAACAGTTTCACAAATTTTGTGTCTTTTTATCAAAACTGAAATATGAATTTCTATGCTGCTTGACACCCTGCAGCAACTATGCCCTTATTATTTGTAATGATTTTAGAAAAATCCAGGATTAACTTGATACCACTCTTTGTTGCATCATTGACAACTTTAACTGTACAAACAAATTGTTCTGCAAACCTAAAAGCCTGAATTCCACTGATAAACAGTGTTTACTTTTAAAATGTGGAACAACAAATGAGATTCAGACCCAATAAAACTTGTCAAAGTTGTTTCAAAACCAAATTTTTGGTTAATGCAATGTGACCAAAATAACCAATAAGAAAATAATGCAATGTGACCAAATAACCAACTGGTTATTTGGTCACATTGCATTATTTTCTTAGGTAGCTTAAGAGTTACAGATCTATTTAAGAGTCTTGATCTATTTCTGTTGCTTCTTGTTGTAGATTTATTTCAAAATAAGGATCAATTTCAGTTTGGTCATCTTCATTTAACTGTGTCTCAGAATCATATTTTAGCAAAGCACCAACTCTGTCAACCTGTTCTTCTCTTAAAATTTCCAACCTGTACTGTGCTCTTTTCATAGATCATCTAGGTCATCTTTTAAAAATCCGGAAAAATTTTTGGCTAAAATATTCAGAAAATATTTTCCCTTACTTTCCTATTAATGTTGCTTTTAGCTAAGTTGTTTCTAATTTTATTTGTCAGAGTGTTCTTTATTTTTCTATGAATGATGAGTGAAAAAGCTTAAAAAACAAATATATCACAAAAATTATATATAAACTTGTATGTATAGAAAATGTTTTGGATATCCGTAAAAATTAAAAGTTGAAAAAAGATATCTGGAATTATGGAAACATCCGGAAAAGGATAATCCCTGTCTCTATTAATTAATTCTTGCTTTACGTGCATGTCTTGCAAGTTTCATTCTGGCTTTGGTTTCTAAAATTTTATCATGTCCATCCATACATGCACTCCTTTCTTGTTGTTGGTCCAAATAAAAATCAATATCATCTTGTTTTTTTCTTTCTGACAAAAATCTTTACTTCTTTATTTCATCTATGGTGTAAGGTTCACCAATGTTGAAAAAGAGAGTCCAATCATTCATTAGAATTCTCAATCTTGCTACCAAGGTTAGTTGCTCTTCCTTTATTTTTCATTAAAACATTCATTACAAAGTTTCATGACATCAAACATGCAATTCTGTCTGTATTTAATTTTTATGTATGGCATATTCCAAAAAACAAGGACTGCATCAACCGCAGCATAACCAATACCCTCATTCTTCCCTTTATTTTTAACATTTTCTTAGAAATAAGATATAATAAGCACAATCAGGCAGTTTGGCCCCTTTAGTTGATGTTGAAGGATGACCAATTAACCAGAAATCAGTGAACGTTCTTTTTACGAGTCTGCTTGGAGTACCTTTATGTGAGCTAGGAGTGCTGCTATTACTTATTGTCTTACCTTGACAAAACTTTTGGTTCTTCAGACTTTTTGTCTTAAGTACTTTGCCCTGATGGTGATGGCTTGCGCATCTTACTACTTTGTCAACATTTTTCCAATATATTCAATGATAAAATTAAATTTATTTTTTCACTTCTCAAAACTTGAATAATACAATTATTAGCCACTGAAAACAAATCAGAACTTTTTTAGAAATAATTCTTGGATTGTGTGATTTAAAAAAAAAAATGTAAATTATGCAAAAATGAGAAACATGTTCAGTGGATTTAAGGGGCCTTAGGATCACTTATTGAAAATCTGTAAAAATTATTTTTAGGCATAGTATTGACAGTATAACGACATAATATTGATAATATAATGATAGTATATATTGATAGTATAATTTTGATAGTATAAAACTTCACTTCAAAACATTTTAACACTTCTATATATTTTTTAATACTTCTATATAACACTATATGCTGGATATACAACATTTTAGTATTTCTATATAACACTATATGCTGGATAACCCTACTGTTAGTGTTTTGTCTGACTGATAAATAGAAGTGATAATATTTGGAGTAGATTTTTTTTTATTTTATAAATAGTTAGTAAGTAGTTAGTAGTAAGACATGATAAAAAAAAATGTAAAAAAAATGTAAAAAAAATGTAAATGTAAAGTACAATATTTTGAAAAAAAAATACATAATTTTTTTTTTTTTTGTAAAAATGCATATTTTCAGCTTTTAGTTTAAAAATGTTATTTTCTAGGCAGTGAAATCTAAAATAATAATTAATTTATAAAATGATGATTATATTTATAAAATAATTTATATAACTTCACATCTTTTGAGACCCAACACGATATACTTTTGAAGAACTAATTTTTTGATAATTATAGGGACCCATCTGGTGTTTAAGGGTCTTGAGCAACCCCTAAAAATTTTTTTTTTCGAAAATTTTTTAATTCTAGTATTATTTTACAAAAAAGAACACATTTTGAGAGGTTTAGCAGACATTTTGAAAAAATGTTTTTTTAAGTGCTACCCTAATATATACATATAATGTATATATATATATATATATATATATATATATATATATATATATATATATATATATATATATATATATATATATATATATATATATATATATATATATATATATATATATATATATATATATATTATATATATATATATATATATTATATATATATATATATATATGTATATATATATGTATATATATATATATATGTATATATATATATATATATATGTATATATATATATATATATATATATATATATATATATATATATATATATATATATATATATATATATATATATATATATATATATATATATATATATATGTATATATATATATATATATAAGTGTTTGAGGTTGGCAAAAAATTGCTGAACCCTTTAAATGCTCAAGGACCTTTGGGGCTAAAAATATCTTTTGTTCAAAAAACTTTTAAATCTAGTGTTATTTTATTATAAAGAGCACATTAAGAACTCAAACAATATAATTTTATAAAAATTGTTTAGTAATATTGTAGCAGTAATAATAAATTGGAATACTACCAATTATACATTGAAGAACAGCAATAAAAATTTTTTCGGTTTTGATAAAAATAAAAAAAATTAAATAAAATAGAAAAACTAAAAACTAGAGAATTTTATATAGATTTCTAATTTTGGCGCTACTAATATGAAAAAAGCAGTTTTTAGTTGCTAAAGATGCAAGAGGTGGTAGTAGAGTTTTCATATATTTTTATAGCAATGCATAGCTCTGATATGATATTTTTATAATACAAATATTTAATAACTTACTTGATCTGCCATTGATAACAAACAAGTTTTTTATGGATCCATTTTGAGCAGAGTTAAATAGATTTGAAGCATATACTTCAACATTGTAAAAATCTTCGGCTTTGTCGTTAATTTTAAAAAATAAAATTTCTCCGTTTATTTTGATTCTATACACATAAAATGAACCTTCTAAAAATAGACTTACTTCAAGATTTGACCAAGAATTTAATTTTAATATATACAGAGACACACCAACATCAACACCACTATACGGATCTGCAATTTGTAGTCCAAAATCATCACAATAATATAAACCTGGAACTCTATTTCCATCATAATTATCATAAGTAAAGTGTATAATACTAGTACAACTAGATTGGATTGTGTTAAGATAGAGATCAAATGAAATTAAATGCTCCTTTTCTAGCATTGGTATTCTAGCAAGAATCTTTCCTTGTACTAATGGTGTAGGGTTATTTCCAACAAGGTACTCTATAATGTAGTATGACATATTAGCAATATAATATAATTCAACATATATATATGTGTGTATATATACAAATATATATATATACAAATATATATATATATATATATATATATATATATATATATATATACATATATATATATATATATATATATATATATATATATATATATATATATATATATATATATATATATATATATATATATATATATATATATATATATATATATATATATATATATATATATATATATATATGAAAATTAGAAGATTAGAAAATTAGAAATTAAAGTAACTTGTTCACTGTAGACATATCAGGATAAGTACATTGATTTCTTAACTTCTTGATTTTTGAACCACCAATTTGCCCCACTTCTCGAAAAATTAATTCTTCTATGAGTTTGCAAGGATTTTTCTTTTTAATGGGGCTTAGTGATCCAGAAACGTTTTGTCATTAAGAGCAATTAATTCAAACACACCAAGGAAGTTTCCACTTTTTTATAAGCAAAAAAAAGTTCAAAAACTAAAGGCTATCTGCTTAATAAACAGTTAAATATAAATACACTCTTTTCTTTAATGCAAAAAATGGCTATTCAAAACATTCTCAAATTGTAAATAAAAACCTTGAGGAGTAATAAATATTTTAAATGTAAACAAATTTTAAAATGCAATAAAATAATTAGGTTATAAGCAAATATTATAAAAAGTATACTGTGATGCAGAGGAGTGCTGGCTCCAAAAAACACATGCAGGATTTTTTCAAAAAGGCCCATATATGCAGGATTTTGCCAAATATGCTTGATTTGAAGACCCACATTTGTATATATATTTAAATATATATATTTATATATATAAAAATATATATTTAAATAAATATATATATATATATATATATATATTTAAATATGTATATATATATATATATATACATATATATATATATATATATATATATATATATATATATATATTTATATATATATATATATATATATATATATATATATATATATATATATATATATATATATATATATATATATATTTATTATATATTTTTATTTAAGTGGTATTACATATACAAGAATTCTTGTATTTTATGTTATATATGATATAATTTTTGTATTTTATGTTATACATTATATATTATATATAAACAAAGTTTTTGAAAAAAACCTTTTTCTTCAAAATTAGTTAATTTGTTTAAATTGTTTTTGGTTTTGTTTGAATCGGCATTTTATCTAATGAGTTTCCTAAGTAGACAAAATAATGCCGGCTATATTTTTGTAATACAACTAAATAACTGTAGCATTATTTAGTCGTATTATTAAAATATCTAGATATATATAACTATTTTAATAACAAATAATTTAAAGATTGATAGATTATAAATTTATGTAAATCTTCTCTTGCGAAAAAAAATGTGTGCTATATGGAACACCCTTAGCCATAGAGAAGTGATGAAAAATTATTTATAAAGTACAAGGGTTAGTACAAGAGCAAGTGTTTATTAGGGTTACTAAAACAATGGTACAAAAAACTTTTTTTTTTACGTGCCCCAAGAAAATAATGTTTTTTAAAGTTAATATTTTATACATTTTTATAGTTATTTAATGAAATTATATATCTTTCATTCCAGAAAAATATGAAAAAGCAAAAATCGGGGTAAGAAAAGAAAAAAGATAAATTAGAATCTGATTTAAAGAAATTGTAATCTGGACAAAAACTCTTTCTGAATTCTTCTTGTTCACATCAACAAATAATGCACCTTTTGATTCGAAAGAGAACTCACAACCACTGAGAAATTTTACTGATAAGCTTTCTGACCATAATAATCTAGTTGACTTTAAAACATCAACACCGTTGGGCAGTATTGGTATTCCATACATTTTCAATTCAATGAAGTCAGTAGAAACGCTTGATAACATAGATGTTTTAATTACACTTTGGGAAAGGCCCAAAAGGTAAGTTTTATAACTCGTACCCGCCTTATTCAACAAAGCTCTGTAAAAAATACAGTACCAAGAATTTATTAACGCAATATTGATAACAAACCAGATGAAACTGTTTGCACCTGGCTTTTCTTTGACAAGAAGCGAGAGATGTTTTTTAGTAGTGTATGTATTTGATTTAATAGCAATGCAAACAACATGCTTGTGACTGAATGTCCACTAGACTCATCTGGGAGATTGCACCAGCTTTACAACATTAACAGACATGAAGTATCAATATCCCACTCTGCAGCACTTGAATCATATTTTGTTACTAAAGCAGGGAAAAAGCTCGTCTGACAAATGCATTAAAACAGCTGTTGAACAAAACCGCTTTGTTCTTAAAAGCATTATAAAAGCGTTTCAAACAAAAAATGCTACCACAAATTTGCAACCGTATCTGCGTCATGGAAACATTCAAGCTTTGTTAAAACTGCTTACAACTGTTGAACCCATGCTTAATGAGCACTTGAGGCAGCTATCAACAATTGAAAAGAAACTGAAAAAACAAGATTGGTGAAAAATATGTTGCAATTGGCAAGGGGTCAAAAGTTACCTGGATGAGCAACAACACCTTTGATGCAATACTGGATGTTTTTACTACTGAAATACAAAAGCAAATTATCAGCCTAATAAATAAAAACAGCATTTTCAATATTCAAGCTGATTCAACAACAGATACTGCTCTTTGCAACCAGATGTGTCTTGTCATTCGTAGTATTCGAAAACAATACTAAGAAACAATTGATGGACAAGTTTCATATGCTCCGCTTCATAACCTTATTGAAGAGAGTTTAATTGATAAATGTGTAGTCTCTCGTGGAAGAGCAACTAATTTATTTATAGATATATCAAACATGCTGGACAAAAAAAAACATTGACTGGAAAGCTAACTGCATTGCACACTGTTTCATTAAGACTCCCTGAAATGAATGAATCCGGAATACTTTCAAATAGAAATAAAATGCTTTAATTATTTATTCGTATATAGAGAAAAAATATTTATTCACTTTTTAAATAGCAGCAGTACACATAATAAAAACAATTTTATAAAAACTCACAAAAATTATTTATATTTAAAAACATTGCAATTTTTGTTTATGAAAAAACAAGTAATTGTTCTAATTTAACAAAAATTTCATCATTATGAATATTTTTCCATAATTTAAAATTGAACACAATTACTTCTCATAATAATGATTGGCTAACTTAAGTAATTTTATTTATATAACGACTGATATAATAAGCGATTTAAATGATGTAACGATCAACTATTTTTTCCAATATCGACTTTGTTTTGAGGCAAAAGTTAAAAACAGTTGCATTTTATTAAGCTAAATAAGTATCATTTGTGAATCATTTTCGGAATGCAGTAAAGGGTATAAAAATTCAAAAAAAAGGCTCTTCTAAGAAAAATAGCGTTAGGCCCAAACGGAATTCCTGCATAGCCTCTGGGGCCAGCACGCCACTGCTGTGATCTTTTTTAAAAAAAAAATTTTCACGCTATATAGGCATCACATATGCCTAAAAAATTACCTAGTGCAAAGTACTTCAATTATCCCTACCTCTAGGCAGCTTTTATATATATATATATATATATATATATATATATATATATATATATATATATATATATATATATATATATATATATATATATATATATATATATATATATATATATATATATATATATATATATATATATATATATGAATTTAAATTTGTTTTATTTCAGAAATAAAATATTTAAGTAGAATAACAAATGATTAGTTGAGTTTTTGTTTTTTAAAAAAATGTTAAAATATTTTATGAAGAGGTGATAACCAATTCCCTCTATGCTGAAAGGCCATTTAATAAAATGACCGAAGATGCTCTTTTTCCATCTATATGATCTTTGAAGGCATTTACGGATTGAGACGAGTTTTGTACGGATCATATTTTAATTTCTGTGATGAGTTTAGTTGCCCTGTGCTGAACTTGTTCAAGTTTTTCTATATCTTTCCTGAGATAGGAAGACCACGCTTGAATTGTGAATTCCAAGTGCGGTCTCACGTACGCTGTGTATAGGGTTTTCCATAGTACTAACCCTCGACTGCGGAAAGCTTTTTTGAGTCTACCTAACATGCTGTTAGCTCTTGCTAAAGCTGATTCGACTTGTTGACAAACTTTCAAGTCAGCGGATACTAGAACTCCTAGGTCTCGCTCAAGTGTAGTTGTTTCTATATTATGAACGATTCCATTTCTGCCTGTCATCATATACAGTTGTGTAGATTTATTTTTAGCTTTTCCAACATGCATTACTTTGCATTTATCTAGATTTAGACTCATTTGCCACTCGTGTGACCAGGCTACTGTGCTGTCTATGTCTGTTTATAAAGATTTTACATCATTATCATTATCGATAACTCTTATGATTTTGCTATCATCGGCATAGATTTTGATATGCTTTTGAAGGTTGTCCGGCAAATCATTTATGTATATATACATATATATATATATATATATATATATATATATATATATATATATATATATATATATATATATATATATATATATATATATACGTATACATGTATATACGTATATATGTATATTTTTTTCTAAATAAATTTAGAAGACCCAAAAAAAATTAAAAACTTAAAGAATAAAAATTATTTTCTATTGATAAATTGTCTACCTAAACCAAAACCCTCAGTCAAAGTAGCAGCACTCCTCACGTGTTCTACCTATTTGTCAGTTGATGTTTGTAAACAATAAAAACATTCAGAATTTTTTAATTTTTATTTAAAATTTAACAAACGTTTCAGTTTATTAAGTTGCATTTTTGTGGTTTTTTAAAAAACAATAAAATTTAATCAGTTTTTTCAATTTTCTCATCTTGTTTCTCCTCGCAGTGAACTTGTTCATTAAGATTTGTGTTTCAGAGTTTAAGAGTTGAAAAAGGTAACAGCAATAAAGTAACCTCCTCGGCTGTAGTGGCCCTGATGACCTCAAGGAGGCGAATAACATTACAAATAAAATTTAACTTTTTTTACATGAAATGTACTTGATTTTGTTAATTTTAAAGACAAATCAACGCATTTTTATCACGTTAACTTATTAATCAATTAATGCCAACAATTAGTTTATCATGCATTATAATAAATAAAATAAACATTTAAAAAAAAAAAATTTTTTTACTATGCCAAAAAGTGGAGATTAACTTTTTAATTTTAATTTAATAGTTCATTAAACTAAAGATTGACTGGACTGCACAAGAATTATTTAGAAACAAACCTGTCAATCAATTAATTTAATGAACTATTAAATTTAAATAAAAAAGTTAATCTCCACTTTTAAGTATGGTAAAAAAAAAAAAATTTTCACAAAAGTTTTTGCTAAATTTTATTCTCAACTTTTTACACTTTACAATGAGTTCATCATGAGTTTCAGCCACTCATTTTTATTTAGAATTCACAAGATTTACTTAATTTTTATTTTGTCTGTAAAAGTTATCATTTCTCATTATATATCTTTTGCTTATTTTGCTGATTATTTTTATATTTATATTAGTAATAATATACTAAAAAAATTATTTTGGTTATTGTATTTTTGTAATGTTTGTTCAAAGTTATGTTCGTTTATTTTGTATTATTTGAAAATTTCAAAAATGGTTATTATAAAAAAACTTCCTTGAAAAAAACTATTAACATAACATTTTTTCGTCATTTTTAAACTTCATTTTTAATGTTAAGTCTAACATAACATTTTTTCATCGTTTTTAAACTTTATTTTTAATGTTAAGTCTAACATAACATTTTTTCATCGTTTTTAAACTTCATTTTTAATGTTAAGTCTAACATAACATTTTTTCATCATTTTTAAACTTAATTTTTAATGTTAAGTCTAACATACTTGTTTTTGTATAATATAGTTTTGAAATTTTACATAATTTTGCTTCATTTGAGACCCAACATAATACACTTTTGAAGAATTTTATTTTTTAAAATTTTAGGAACTCATTATATGTTATAAGGTCTTGGAGGACCCTGAAAATATTTTTAATTCAAAAAATTTTTTTAAACCAGTGTTTTTTTTTTATCATACAGAACATATTAAGAGGGTGGCAGCATATATTATAATTGAATTATAATTTATAATAATAATCAAATCATAAAATAATCAAAAATGTTCAAATGACAAGTAAATAAATAAATTTGATAAAGAAATGTAAATATTATAAGAGAAAGTTAAAGTTATAAGAGAAAGATTATTGCAAATGCCATTGCAAAGTGGGTAGCAAAAAACTGCAGCCCTATTAGTATTTGTAAGATGTCATTATGAATGAAGAATCTTACTAGGATTGCAGTGAATGGTTGCACGTATGAGCCTCCACCAAGACAGAGGCTCATATATGTATGAGCCTCTGTCTTGGTGGAGTTTCATACAATTCATGTAATTTTCCTCACATGAAAATTACATGAATTGTATGAAACAAAGAGAACTTTTAAGGCAACATCGTTATAATGTTTGTGTTGCCCTCACCAGGGACTACTGGACATCGCTGGGTAATAAGTACCTCGGAGTTAATGTGCATAACATTGATGAACAATAAAAACTGCATTCACATGATCTGACAGTGAAAAAGAAACAAGAAAGACTTTTTGCTAAAATGTGCACAGAACACTTTATTCATGTTGCACAGCAGTGGGACATTTCAAATAAAGTCAGAACACTTAGCACAGATAGTACAGGAAATATTGTCGTTGTTACAAGATATCTGCCTTTTGAAAGCGTCCCTTTTTGAAAAGGTTAAAAAAGGTGTGTGTTGATACAGAGCAGAACCCACCATCAATGCAGAGACCTTTCCATTACAGTGGTGGTTCAAACATGCATGCTCACCAGCAGGTTGACCTCAGTTTCACTGAATATTTGGCAACCTCCAACATTCATAACTTGCAAAAGGTTGTTTTCTCTTGCTTGTCATATTGTACAAAAGAAAAGAGTTTCTTTATTATCTAAAAATGTGAATGACCTAGTTTTAAAAACACATTTAATTAGAAAATTAAGTTTAAAAACACATTTAATTAAAAAGGTTACAATGTGATGTCTCATTAGATCAAAATGTTACGTGATGTTACATAATATGATATGCCTTGGTTATGTAAAAATAAGGGACATTTTGCTTGTAGCATTACGTTACAGTGTTACCTATCTTTATAATACAATGTTACATCTTGCTTATGTAAATACAATAAACATTTTGCATGCAACGTTATGTTACAGAGATACATAATGTTATACCCAATAAATAATTCCTAATAAATAACCTAAAAAAAGCTTTTTTATTTCAATCAATCATAAAAGAAAAAGCGAAAAATCATTAGGAAGAAAATAAGTCATTTTTTCATTAAGAGACAACAAACAATTCAAAGTCATATCATGTAATGATTCTAAGGTTTTAATGTTATGTGATGTGTAAGATTCCTTAAGTAAAATGTTAATCACTATATAATCACTACACAGATTATGTTTACACATTAGCATTAATGTGTAAACATAATCTGTTATTATTATTTTTTTTTTAATTAATTAATTTATTTTTTTATTGTTATTATTGTTGAGTACTGTTTTAAGTGTATAGCCTGTCTTATTTATTTTTAAATATTCCTCTATTAATCTTTATTTTTGTCTTGACAACTGTCAAAATATGCTTTGTCTAATAGATAATTCTCCTTTGTTCTAATGTACTTCATTTCTACCCTCAGGCGTTCACTGCTCGTGTGTGACCACTCGGTGAATTCTATATGCCAAACTTTTTAAATAAAATAAAAAGACCTAATAAAGAATTCCTAATAAATAACCTAAAAAAAGTTCTTTTATTTCAATCAATCATAAAAGAAAAAGGGAAAAATAATTAGGAAGAAAATAAGTCATTTTTTCATTAAGAGACAACAAATAATTCAAAGTCATATCATGTAATAATTTTAAAGTTTTAATGTTATGTAATGTGTAAGATTCCTTAAGTAAATTGTAATAGTGTTTCAAAATGCAGGTTTACATTAAGTCGAGCTTGGTGGTAGCTTGTAGAAACAAAGCTTATGTAGTGGCTTACAGCTATACTTTAAATACATTACATTTAAGTTAAACATAAATTTGCTAAACTTAATTGACACTAATTTATAAAATTAAATTTAAAGTATTTAAAAAAAATTTTTTTTTAGTAATTTTCAATTAAACTTAAAAAGTTAAAAAATTTCAAACAAGTCAGAATTAAGTCTGCTAAAAAATGCTTAATTATCAAAATATTTGAAAACTCTTACCAGCTTTTCCATTACTAATAAAAAGTTCAGAGACAGTAGCATTTTGTGCATCATCCCAATTATTAGAACCATAAACCTCCACATTTTCAAAATCTTTAGCCACAGAGTTTTCAACTTTATAAACATTTACACTGTTCAAATCAACAGCAAAAAAATACTTACTGTCTAATAAACTTTGATATATTCTAATACTATGCCATTGACCCAAAATAAGCGGATCTGTTTCAATACAGTAGTTACGATTATTACTTATGGCAGAACAAATAACAAGCTTTCCAGAACCATCTTCATGAAACCAAATACCTGGATTTCTGTCTCCATATACTTTACAGTTATTACCCAAAGTTAAATGAAGAACATTTCTCAAGCCTTTAGAGTAACTAATAGGTTTTAAATTAAAGGACACAATATACTCTTTTTTTAAAGTGGTCATTGTTCCAAGAACTAATCCACGTGTGAGAATAAACTCATTTCTATGATTAATGTGTTCTAAATTTAAAAATATTTTATTGATCACAAATAAATTACAAATACATACATACATACATACATACATACATACATACATACATACATACATACATACATACATACATAAATACATACATTTATACATATATACATATATACATGCATACATACATACATATATACATACATACATACATATATAAATACATACATACATATATAATACATATATATAAGCACGCATGCATGCATAGATACATACATACATAATGTATGTGTGTATGTATATATGTATGTATGTATGTATGCATGTATGTATGTATGTATGTATGTATGTACGTATGTATGTATGTATGTATGTATGTATGTATGTATGTATGTATGTATGTATGTATGTATGTATGTATGTATGTATGTATGTATGTATGTATATATGTATATATGTATGAATGTATGTATTTATGTATGTATGTATGTATGTATGTATGTATGTATGTATGTATGTATGTATGTATGTATGTATGTATGTATGTATATGTATGTATATATGTATGTATATATGTATGTATATATATGTAGGTATGTATATGTATGCATGTATGTATGTATGTATGCATGTATGTATGTATGTATGTATGTATGTATGTATGTATGTATGTATGTATGTATGTATGTATGTATGTATGTATGTATGTATGTATGTATGTATGTATGTATGTATGTATGTTTGTATGTATGTATGTATGTATGTATGTATTGATTGCAAAATGTTGAACTTTTTTGTTGTTTGTTATAAATATATATTTTGGGTGATATATTCAGTCAGGTGAGGTTTATCCTACTACTGGTAGTCAGGTTTATCATGCTACTGGTAACATGTAACCCAGTACATGTTACCAGTTACATGTAACCCAGTACATGTTACCAGTTACATGTAACCCAGTACAAGTTTGAATTTACAAGTATGTAAATTCAGTCAGGTCAGGTTATCCTGCTACTGGTAGTCAGGCTTATTCTGCTACTGGTAACATGTAACCCAGTACATGTTAACAGTAACATGTAACCCAGTACATGTTACTGGAATATGTAACCCAGTACCTGACCTTCAGTCAGGTCAGGTTTATGCTGCTACTGGTAACATGTAACCCAGTACAATCTCCTTCATGTCCTGCTGCCTTGTAGGATATGCCTTTTTAGGCAAAGGCTAGGAGATGCAAACTCCAACATAAAACACCCCCTGCCTTGGGGCTCTTGGTTGAGTAAAGGCTAGAGATAATGTCTCGATAAAAATACTCATCTTGGGCAGATGTTAAATGCATCCAGCTGCTGTCTTGTAGAAGCCCTCCTAGGCAAAGACTTAAGGGGTCAAAAGATTCCATCTGTTGACCAGCCTCGCACCCCTTCTCCATCTATTAGGCTGGCGCAGATATATTTTTAATACATTGTTTCCAGTTTAGGATGTTGAACGCTGGATCTTCTTGACTCGATGCATGGGTTTTGCTTGTGCCTCTGTTTTTATGACTAGGCAACTCATTCTATCATCTCGAAATGAGGGTACAGCTCTAAAACTCAGTTTTATGGTTCTGAGGCCGGCTGGTAGTCAGGTTTCCCGAACTCTGTGGTAGCTCTCAGAGAGGCTGATTCCATCAAAAGCTGAAAAATATCAGAGTACTAACAGTGCCATGTTGCGCATGGATGGTGTCCCTGTTTGTACTTTTGGTGTGCATTGCCAAGGCCACAGTGGAGCCCTTTGTTACGGCTTAAGGTTTATTAGTAGAAATGAGGCAATTGCTTGAGCTATAAAACAGTGTACTGAGTACTATTTATGTTTCGAGTCAAGTTCTTTAACAAATTTAAAAATGAATAAAGTAACAAAAACTATAAAACACAAAAAACCACAGTCATCACCATGTTCGCTAAACCTATCATTCATCAATATTCGTGGTCTTCGAAGTATCTTTTCTTCTGTTGAGTCTTATCTCTTGCAAAGTTCACTAGACCTACTTGCTCTTTGTGAGACAAACTTGAGTTCAGCTGTCTCATCTTGTGATCTTAGTGTTGATGGTTATCTTCCTTTAATTCGTAAAGACTCCAATAGTCAAAAGCTTGGCCTAGGCATTTACATTCGTAAGAATTCACCCATTTGTCGGGAAACTAGGTTTGAATCCACAGACTACTCTTTTATGTGCTTTCGCTTAGCACTACTTCACTCTATCACCTTTCTCTTTATTCTATATCGCTCTCCTTCATCTCAAGACTGCACTCTTCTTGATGTTATTTCTGATTATATTGACCAAGCCCTCATTCTTTATCCCTCAGCCATTATTGTTGTTGTCGGTGACTTTAATGTTCATAACACTGAATGGCTTGGCTCTAGTTTCAGTAACTCTGCAGGCATTAAGGCCCACAACTTTTGTCTTTCTATATCCCTAACTCAAATAGTCAACTTTCCAACTCGCTTTTCAGACAACCCAAATCATTTACCTTCTCAACTCGACTTGTTTCTGATCCTAGTAAGTGCTCAGTTTCTCAACACTCACCCTTAGGTGCTTCTGATCATGGTTTGGTCTCTATAAAACTATTATCTCATTCTTCATTTTCATCAGAATCCCCCTATAATCGTCCATCTTACAACTACCTTAAAGCTGATTGGGACTCTTTCCGTGATTTTCTTTGTGATAGCCCCTGGGTAAAAATCTTTCGTCTTCCTGTTAACAAATGTGCTTCTTACATAACTTTGTGGATTCAGGCTGGCATGGAATCCTTTATTCTCTCTCGACAATTCCAGGTCAAGCCACACTCTTCTCCATGGTTTTCCTCACATTGTGCTGCTGCAATTGCCAATCGAAACCATTACTTCCATATCTATCAGCAAAACAATTCTCCAAAAAACAGACGTCTGTTTATTACTGCTAGGAACCATAGTAAAAAGGTTTTGTCTAATGCCGAAGCCCACTATTCTCAGATCATGAAATCTCATATTTCATCACAAAAATTAGGCTCTTGTGACTTCTGGAGAATCTTTAATAGTATCAATAATAAGGGCAAGTCTGTAATTCCACCTCTTATTTACAGTTCAGACTTTGTCACCTCACCTAAAGACAAAGCTGAGTTGTTTGCTAAGAACTTTTCATCAATATCATCTCTTGATTCCACTAGTTGCGTTCTACCTGATATAGCCGCCAAACAGGTTGATCCACTGCTCGACATCCGTATCACTCAAGCTTCTGTATCTAAAGTGATTTCCTGCTTAGACTCTTCTACAGCTTGCGGCCTGGACAACATACCTGTTATAGTTTTGCAGAAGTGTTCTCCGGAGCTGTCGCCTATCCTTTCAAAACTATTTAACAAGTGCTTATCAGAGTTTTGTTTTCCAACCTGCTGGAAAGCAGCATCTGTTATCCCTATTTTTAAAAATTCTGGAGAGCGATCCGATTCTTCTAACTACTGTCCCATTAGTCTTCTTCCTATCATAAGCAAGGTTTTTGAATCTTTAATTAACAAACACTTAATCTCTCATCTCTCATCTCATAACCTACTTTCTGATCATCAATATGGATTTCGATCTTCTCGTTCTACAGCTGATTTGCTAACAGTAATAACCGATAGGTTTTTTCGCGCATTAGATAATGGTGGAGAAGTTAAGGCCATCGCTCTTGACATTTCTAAAGCATTTGATAAAGTTTGGCATGCTGGTCTTCTCCATAAGCTTTCTTCTTGCGGTGTATCTGAAAACACCTTTAAGATAATTGAATCATTCCTTTCCAATCGTAGTATAAAAGTTGTCCTTGAAGGACAGCATTCTTCTTCTTATTCTGTAACCTCAGGGGTTCCTCAAGGTTCAATCCTTGGCCCTATACTCTTTTTAATTTACATTAACGATCTTCCAGATATTCTCACATCTAAGGTGGCATTGTTCTCTTATGATACTACCATTTATTTTGTCACGATAAGAAGCCAACTCCCTCTGATTGCTTGCAGGGAGCATCTGAGCTTGAAAAGGATCTCACTTCTGCTACAGCATGGGGCTCACAGTGGCTGATGAACTTTAATTCAGATAAAACTCAATTTTTTTCAGCCAATCGTTATCGCAATAATTTAGACCTTCCTATATTTAAAAACGGTAATGTACTCGATGAGTCTCCTACCCTTCATCTTCTAGGATTAACTCTTACTTCTGATCTTTTTTGGAAACCTTATATCAAATTCGTTTCAAAATTAGCATCTGCTAAAGTCGCTTCTCTTTATCGAGCTCGTCACTTTCTTACTCTGGATTCTATTCTCTATCTCTATAAATCTCAAATTCGGCCTTGTATGGAATACTGTTGCCATATCTGGGGTGGATCTTCTAATGATGTCCTTTCTCTTTTAGACAAGGTGCAAAAACGCATTGTAAACATAGTTGGACCTGCTCTTGCAGCCAACCTTCAACCTCTGTCACATCGTCATAATGTTGCTTCTCTTTCTCTTTTCTACAAATACTATAATGGGCACTGCTCTAAAGAGCTAGGGTCTCTTGTGCCATCTACTAAAGTTCATTCTCGTGTTACTCGTCATTTAATTAAGTCTCATCTTTTTTCTGGTACTGTTCCTAAGTGCTCCAAAAACTCTTATTTGTCTAGTTTTTTTTCTTGAACATCAGTTCTTTGGAATTCGCTTCCTTCATCTTGCTTTCCTGATTCATATAATTTGCAATCTTTTAAGTCGTCTGTCAATCGTTATCTTGCTCTACAATCTCCATCTTTTCTCTTCCAGTAACTTCCAACACTAATTAGTGGTTGCTTGCAGCCTTGTTGGTAACGAAGATATTTAAAAAAAAAAAAATTATTTATATTTATTAACTTTGAATAGAATTTATATTTTACTAGTAACTTTTTCAAAATACTTTCCTATAAAATCCTCTTAACATATTTTAAAAATCTAACAAAGAATTCCAAAAAGGTAAAATTACATATTTAAAAAAGTATTTAGAAGCCTTTTAAGTATTGTTTTAAATGTGTACATTTACTTACCCAGCTAACACAAAATGTTCAACAAATGTTGGAAACGTTCAAGAACGTTCTATGAACGTTCATAGAATATGCTTGAATGTTCACAATGTTGGTCAAATGTTCTTTTTTGGTGTTTTTTTTTAAAAGTATTGTACTTTGCTACATTTTATGTTATATATGTTATATATGTTACTGAGTAAAAAAAAATATTATGTACTAGTATTGTTTAATTTTACAAAAAGTATGAATTTATTTTTTTGTTTGATAAATCGCCTGGTTTATAACTTTGCTTCTTTATGTTTTCATTATTGTTGAGAAGGTGAAATTTACTGGAAAATTTACTAGTAAATTTTGAAAAATTATTGCCTAATTTTTTATTAAAAAGAAATACCATGCTAATTGTTGGATAAAATATATAATATTCAAAATGTATTAAAAACTTTGTCTTATCACATATAATATAGCTTAAAATATTCGAAAATACAAAATACTTCGCAAAACATACTCTTGTCTAACCAGGCTAGCCTGCCTCATTTAAACAGCCCCTAAAGAGTTGCTTATTTAAGTTTAATTAAATTCCATTGTAAACATTAATTTATTTTTGTTTTAATTTTTATAGTCAGCCTAATTAAAAAATATTTTAAATTGTGTTTCCAGAAAACTAATTGGATATCCGGAAAAAAAATAACTATAGAAATATCAGGAATTCACTAAAAACATTTTCATTAAAAAATATATTTCCGAAACCATATTTTGTGCAAGTTACCACTAACAAAATTACTAACTACTTCAAGTTGTTCTCTAGATAAATTAACAAGAAAATAACTTAAAAAAGCATAAATTGCTCTTGAATTCCATCTTGCACAGTGAAGAGATGGTAATGTATAGGAAAATGAACTTTAGGAAAATATCCATTTTCTTTATAAAAAAGATATGCTTTGCATAGATTGTAAAGCAATTTTATATCATCTCTTCATCCTAAAATTTTGCAGTTTAAAGAAGGTCCTCTGTTGTCAAGTGCTTCCACAAGATTTTTGTAATTTTTAAGAATGAATTTAATAAAAGAATAGTGTAAGTCATGCGAGACATTTCAGGACATACAGAAACAATGATCAATTTCAAAACTCTGTCCAGATGTTTCATGTCAACATTAGAACATGATGTCAACATGAAACATACAGTGGATTATCCCTAATATTTTGAAAAAAAAAGTTCTTCAAAAGTATATCATGTTGGGTCTCAAAAGAATGCAATTTTATGAAAATGTCAAAAATAATAAAAACAATTTATGGAAACACAAATTTAAAAAGTTTATTAAAAAGAAACTTTGAAAAAATGTACTTTTAATTTTTTGTCAAAAAACTAAAGCTTTTAGGCCATAAAATTTAAACTAGTAATATTTATATAAAATAATTATTATTTTTGAAATTTTTATAAAATTTCACTTCATTTGAGACCCAACATGATATATTTTGGAGAACTTTTTTTTTCAAAAAATTAGGGACTTGTTTAATGTTTAAGGGTCTTGAGCAACCTCTAAAATTTTTTTTAATTTAAAATTTTTTTTAATTTAGTGTTAATTTATTACATATATATATATATATATATATATATATATATATATATATATATATATATATATATATATATATATATATATATATATACACACACACATATATATATATATATATATATATATATATATATATATATATATATATATATGTATATATATATATATATATATATATATATTTATGTATATATATAATTTCTGTATGATTTTTGTGGTAGGTACTTTTTTTTAAAATTAAATCAAATAACAGATATATTCAAATAATATACATAAATACTTATCCAGTAATACTATAGTGTTTCAAAAATTTCATAAAAAATATTAAAAGTCAACACCCTAATCTTCATCCTGTTGAAAGATAAAATTACGAGATAAGCCAGCACTTCTGGTGCTTGATCTCAGTTTTCATTTCATAATATCAATATAAACCTCTTTTGTTTTTTGTTCACCTCAATTGTTCACTGTTGCTTTGTATTCCAACATTGAACTCTCTGTACTAGAATTTGATAAATATTTTCTGGAATTATATTTCTGAAATTTTGATTTTAACTTTCTGCTTAACCTGAATTAAGGTTTTCATATTTAATAAATCGATCTAAAAAATGGATTTTTCTGTATTCCAAATGAAACCCAGATAATTAAGTTTTTCATTTGGTATTATTTTATGGTTATCTAGTTTTTTCTTGCAACTGGTTACTCGTTGTTTTCCTGAGAAAATAAGCTCTGTTTTGACAGCATTTAGTCTTATCCCATTTAAGTTATTGTAAACATTACACGTTGTTATTAGCCTTTTAAGGTGAATACAAACAAATACAAAAGAAACTCTCAAATTCAATCAATCAAAAGAAATTCAATTAATTTAAATGAGAAATTTCATTCTTAATATAAATACTGTTTGAAAATGAACATTAGTAATATTAGTAATAAATGTGTAAACATTCTAATAAAAATACTAGCATGAACTTCAAAAAACCTCTGGAGAACATACTAAAATAAAATTTGGTGACAAATATAACTAAGTTTAACCATGTTTTTTTTATTTACCAATTCTTTATAAGCTTTCAGAACAAAAACAAAATTTAAAAACGGAAAACCACATTTACCTGAGGTTTTATTTTTGTTAATGACATAATAACAAAATAAAGTGTTTTTTGAACACAGAAAAGTTAGATAAAATAAAACATTGTTTTTAAAATCCAAACTATTTATATTAAAGAATATATGCGTATGTTTTGATTTCAGCAATCCAAATTTTTTTTATCTAAATTTTTCTTTGTGTAAGAAAAAATATTTAACACATACATATGTTTAACATGCTTTTTATATACACGTTAAAATATTTTTTTAAATACTTGGTATTCTATTATATGTTATATTTTATTATATGTTATATTATATTATATGTTATTGCAGAACACAATGCAAGCATTGTGTTCTGCAATTTTTTTTATTTTTTTTTTAATATTTTAATATATTCAGAAAAATTGTAATTGTTACAGCAATAAATATTACTATTACTTACTATTACTATAGCAAACACCTATAAAATCCACACAAAAATGTTCTTACCAGCTTTTCCATTGACTATATTTTCAATAATAAGTTCTGAAATAAATGCATTCTGTGCATCCTCCCAAAGATTAGAGGCATATACTTTCATGTTTTCAAAATCTTTAGGCTTAGTATTTTCAACTGAATAAATATGAACATCATCTATACAAACAGTTAAAAAGTATGACCCATTCATGAAACCTTGATATATTTTAATCTTGTACCATTGATTCAAACCAAGTGGATTTGTACTATTGCAGTAATTACGATTATCATTAACTGCAACACAAATAACAAGTTTTCCAGAGCCATCTTTATCAAACCAGACACCTGGATTTCTGTCACCATATACATCACAGTTATTTCCTAAGGTTAAATGAAGAACATTTTTCAAACCTTCAGAGTAACTTATGGTTTTTAAATTAAAGGACACGATGTACTCCTTTTTTAAAACATTCAGTGTTCCAAGAATTAAACCTCGAGTGACAATAAATTCTTTTCTGAGATTAATTAATTCTAAATTTAAAAAACATTTCTTTATATGCAATCATGAATACAACAAAAGAAAAACACAAACACTAAAAAAAAATTACAAAAAATAATTTACAACATATAATATCTGAACTCCATTTCTTAAAAAGAAATTTTATTCAATTCTTTTAAATGAGAGAAACATCATTTTTACTTTAACTACTGTTTGAAAATGAATATTTGTAATGAATGTGTAAACATATAAATGAAATATATATTGGAAAAAGAAACTTTACATAAAGTATGTTTAAATGGGTGAGATAAAATAATAGAAGTTGTACAATAAATCTTTTTGCTTGCAAGATTCTACACAGCAAATTTGGTGTCAAATTATTGATAATTTGTCACCAAATTCCAGATAACCCTTTGAGGACAGAGAGACAGTTTTGTCCCATCCATTACAATATCCATACGCTTACATCTATGCATACATCTACCCACACATTGAAAATTTTAAATATAGCAACTTGCAACCTATAATTAAATAACTTATGTAACTCTCACTGTCCTCAAAGGTATATAATGATAATATCATAAATTTGATAATTTTATAACAAGTTTTAATTATTAAAGAATATTAAAATTTTTAATATTCTTTATTAGTTGAAACCTACTTTAAGATTGATAAATTGTTTTTTAACAAAAAACAATTTATCAATCTTAAAGTAGTTAATATTTCTTAGATAAGTGTTTGTATTTCCCTGTTAATATAAGATTTATGTTAGAGGTGGCAAAATTGTTTGGAATTCATTACACAATATTTAGGAAAAATATGATTTTTGCCTTGTCGACTATTATCCTGGGTATATACGAAAAAAAAATTTAACAATTACTAACCCAAAATGATATTTACGTCAATTTGAAAGAATATTTTAAAAACAGATATTTTTAAATTTGGCGGTATTTTATAATGCATAATTTATGCTATTTGTTTCTCCAGTGATATTAGATAAAATTTATTTTTCGTTATTTTAAGGATAATTTATAGAAGAGTCGATATAGGGGCTGTCCATTAATAACTTTAATTGACCTCCCCCCTCCCCCTTGTAATAATTATCAAAAAAGTTCAGACCCCCCTCCCCCTATTTTGTTGACGTAATTAATGGACAACCCCATAGGGTAGACAGACTCCAGAATAGCATCAAACTAACTAATAAAAAAGACTAACTAGCATTAACCTCAATAAAAAAAACCTCTGGAGAACATACCAAAATAAAACTTGGTGACAAATAAAACTAGGTTTAATTTATTTACTTCTGATACAGCACATTGTACTTTTGCGTTATTATTAATTCTATGGATTGAGAAACGATTCATTATTCAAAACTGATATCAGTTTTGAATATATCATGATATATAAATATATGAAAATATCATGATATATGAATTAAAACATTAGTTTAAAAACTAATAAAAAATCAATTAACAAAACCTTTAAGAAAGGTAAATAAGACACTTAAAAATGATTTTTTGAGCTTTTCTGACCGCCCAAATATTAATGACGTTCTCGTAACTCACCTTTTTAGCCAAATCTTCTTCAATCAAATATCAAATAACGTGATCCTGACACATGGTCGAACGGAGAGAGTTTTTTCCAATTTTTAGTTTACAAAACGATTGTTCACCTTCAGCAACTGACTTAGTAATAGTGTCAAAAATTTGAGGCATGATGCAAATATATGGGAAAAGTCGTTCAAGCTTCTTCTAAAAAAAAATTGCTTAAAAATTGTTTTGCGGGCATTGATAAAACGGCGAACTTCTTTTTTTTGTGTACATCTCTCGGATGAAACCGTGCAAGTTCTCATGCTTTATTTTAAACGGAAAAATCATTATTATTCAACCTGAAGAATAAAATCATATTGCAAACCACCCTGCTTGTTTCAAATCTTGAATCAATCTGCTGGATCAGATCATCTAAACCAACATTAGACATGTTCACTTTAAATTCTTTTGTTTGACTGTCATGAAAAATGGAATGTGTTTGATACCTCATCACAAAAGCGCTTTAGTTTACACTTTCGTTTAGGAGCGAGTTCAGTTTCGAATTCTAGCGGTCAAACTACAATTACAGATATTTAGAAAACTTGCAACTAAGAGTCTCTAATCCGTTTAAGATTTTCCAGCAGCTGTCCAATCAAACGTAGCTCGTCATCAGATAATGGCTTTAATGGCTTCAGATTATAGAAGACAACTAACATCGTTAGCAGTAATAAGGGTTTTGTACCGAATCGTAACTAGCAATACAAATTCAAAAAATGGTAATCATTTTTTTTAATTTTTTTTTTGGCTGAGCTGCTCACTGGTCAAATCCAGATTTTTTATGGCATGTTTAAAAGCTGCCAACATATCTTAACAAGTGGTTTGAATAATTTTGCCTTATTAAGGTTTGAGCTACCTTGTAAGCACCTGACATTTTGGAATCATTATCGTGTCCCTGACCGCGACATTTTTGAATGTCCATGCATAGCCTTAAAGTCACATTAGTGATAAACTTAGCTATATCAAACACTTTCTTTGTCTCAAAAGTTTCAATACACAAGTATTGTTTTTTGATTTTCCAGCAATTAATTTGTCTTTCATAGAGGAGAAAACAAACGAAAAAGGTTATCTGCTCAGTATGAGATTTATTGGGAATACCATCGACTATGGTTGTGAAGTAGATACCATCCTAAATTTCTTCGACAGCGGCACTTTGAATAACACCATATTCTTTGATAAACTCATTTTGAGGCGATGGAGAGAATGGGCACTCATTCTGGAGCCCTCTTGTTGATGTTGCTATTATAAGGTTTTCTCAATATCAATTTTAATGATTTATAAATTATTACAATAATTTAATTATAATTATTCAGAGCCCCTTCCCCAAAAAAAAAATTGATTTAACTATAACTATTAGGGAAAAACATATATTTTTAACAAATATTTTATCTCCTCCTTACTTTTTAGTTTTATGCAACCCCAAGAACTATAGACTATAGTTCTTGGGGTTGCGGGCTTTTCCCTTGCTATGTTTGGGCCTCTCCCTATATCTGGGCCCCTAAAATAAGTACCTTAAAAAAAAAAAAAAGGTCTTTAATATGTAATATGAGCCCCCTTAATATGAAAATTGTGGTTAAGGCTCTGTTATTATATACATTTTCCGAGTGGGATGTTGCAAATTATTGCAATAATTATATTAATAAATAAAATTGATATTGAGAAAACTTTATAATGAGTTACCTAAAAAAGCTTTTTTTTTTTATGTTCTTATTACAATATTTATAATACAGATAGTATAAAAGAAAGAAAAGTTAACAAGTCAGGATATCGTTAAGAAATAAAGAATAAAAATAAAAAAAATAAATAGCGCGGATACTCAAAAAAGACCATCAGGTCTTGTCACATAAAAACCGCTATTGAAAAAATAAGTTTTATTGTTTTTTTAATGGTTTTTTCCTTATAATATGGTGTTTAAGGCTTGCATTAATCAAATTACTGTGTTTTCCAAAGAGCTGACTCAGAGAACAATAATGTCTATAATTTTCTAGATAAACCTCTTGCGCACACTGAATCTAATTTGTCGAAAATAGTTACTGAATCTTATTAATCACTATATATTATTGTATTATTAGTTTATTATACACTATATATCACTAAATATAATCAATATAATCTCATTTCCAGACTGAATATAATACATTTATAGATTGTTCAAAATGTTTTGCAAAAGTATCTAGATGCCATTCGACGGTTATTGCTGTGTCTTAAACCAAATTACCAGATTTCCGTTTACGCTTCTGACAACAATAACGCCAAGCCACTGCCAAATATATAAATTACCGTTTTCCCCTTCTGACAACATAAATTTCGTAAAATAATAAATCATAAATTAAAATAAAAATAAATATACTATATTACAATTGAAGAGTTCTAAAACATAAAAACTAAAACATGTTAAATAATCCACTAAATTTAAACATGTAATAATTTTTTTTTATCAATAAGCAAAAAATAATTGCTTGTTGATAAAAAATAGATAAATAAAAAAGAATATTCATTAAATATATACATATACTAATATATATAAGGGATTTTCAAAAACTTAAAAGTAGATTATTATATTTTAAGTTAAAAAAATGTGTTTTTTTTTTAATTTTGTTTAAAAGAATCAAAAATTTTTTTCTTGAGAAAAATCTTTTGAACTATTAGAACTATACTATTCCATAAAAAAAAATGGTCGAAAAAAAAATGGTTCGCGAAATGAAATAAAAAATATTCCAAAACTAGTTTGAGAAAATGGTTGTCAAATTAAATTATTGTTCCTTAAAATATATTTATTTCTATCTCTTTGTAAATACAAGTTACGAAAAGAAAGGAGTGATAGGTGGGTTTTATACATGAAACTAAAAATATTAAAAACGTTTAACTCATATATATATTGAGTGCTTTCATATAAAAGTGGCTTGGCGAGAACTAAACGGTCGTTTAAAGTGTTACATGATTCTGTTGCCGATAGAGAGGTTTAAGTTTACTTTTATAAGTGCTACCCCGAGCAATGTTTGCATAATTAATATGGCAATGAATAAACAAATAATATAACAGAATTAAGGTTTGTCGAGAACGTTTCTTATTTTGTATAAAATGCCTATACTCTTACTGCACAAATTAGTAATGTGGCTTTTCGATGTAAGATTTTCATCAATATATACATCTAAAAATCTTGTCACAAGAACTCTTTTAATAATTATGATAATCAATAAAAAGAAAAAGTAAGTTGCTAGGCAGCTGGTGCTTTTTACCATAAGAATGAAAAAGAATCCATTTTTTATCAATTTTTAGTTTTATCAATTTTTAATGATAGTTTGTTTAATTAAAACCATTCGGAAATTTTGACTATTTCAATGTTCATGTTGCTAAAAAGTGTAAAAATGTTATTATGAGAAAGAAATAAGTTAAAAGCATCAGCAAACATAATGAGGAACTTCAGATGAAATATTTAACAAACTAGATGATACGTTATCATCCGCATAAACAAATTGTTTTCAATTATTTAGGGAACTTTTTTAGCCAAATTAATATATTTTCAGTAATTTCGTACCACTTCAACTTTTTAAAAAGAATTACGTTACAATAATATCAAAAGCTTTCGCAAAGTCAAACACCTAGTAAATTCCGTAAAGCTAAATTCCCTAGAAGCCAGGAAAACAGTCACATTCAAAATTTCACGAAGAGTTGTCAGCCATTTAGCTGTCTCAGAATTTATTCAAATATGGAGCTCTAAATATTGACCAGTAGAACCGGTAAGACGAATGCATGCTTCTTTCCAATCATTGTAGAAATTTTTGTGCAATGGGCTGGATTGATGCTGCTTCACACGACTTATGAGTTTCCTCCGTTGATCTCTAGCTCCTCTGTTTCAACGAAGAAGAGACAATCAGTCGCTTTTGAGTTCTGCTTTTGTGCTGGAGATCTCTTTAAAATAATTACATCTTGATCTTTTTGACCCAAAACAACCAGCTACAAAGAAGGGTTAGCATTAATTATTATCATGGAACACACTACCTAACGAAGTTGTCAGTTCTATCTGTGTCAACTCCTTCAAAGCAAAATTTGATGAGTTACCATTATTATTACCACAGCACATTTTGTACAATCGAACATGAGCTAGCATTGCTTATTGTTCATGGGCTTACGGAACATGCCCGCTTCTGTCTAATTCTACAACAACTAAATCCTATTTTTTTTGTAAAAAACAGTTTATAACTAATTATAAGAATAGAATTTAAAATTTAAATTATTTTTTTTATGTGCATTTTTATTCAAAATACTAAAGTTTCAATCTCAAGTGCAAAAACTAAGCAGATTTCAGATTGTCAGTCATTAAAATGTTTTCTATTTACTGTAAAAGAAACAAAAACGGATTGTCCGGCGCCCCTTCAAGCTTCTAGCCTGGGTCAATTTGTCCCATTTGCCCCTCCCTCTCGAAGGCCCTGGTGGTAAGTGGTAAATGCTCTCACTAAGCATAAATTCTTTACCTTTGGGGTTCCTTTAACTATACTTTTGACTGCTGGCACTTTTGAATATATTTTTAATTTGGGTTTAAAGACGGACATTATAACATTCTTTTCCAAATCTGCTGCTAAAAAAGCATTAATAAAATTAGAAACATTCAAAAAATGGTTTACAGAGGAGCTAAGCCCAGTGGTGATTCTACAAATAAAATAAAGGTGGGGGTGAATCTTTAAAACGTACCGAATGACTTCTAAAAGAAAAAAAACAGGTCCTCAAAACTAAAATTTACCCGACTGAGTTGTGTCAAATACCCGACTAGGTGACTAAATTCGTAAAAAAAATCGATTATAACTTAAAAATCACCTCCTTTGGGTGGGTTAGAACATCCCTCCAAACATCCTATCCCCCGTAAAATCGCATCTAGCTAATCTTTACAGTTGATATGTCCAATGAGGGTTTTTGCAACGCTAGTGATGAGAACACTGCCTGATTGGAATTTAAGAATGCTAAGAACTTTGCTGATAAAACTTAAAAAATATTCCTGTTACGTGATTTACCAATTTTACCAAAAAGCTCTTTGGAACAAAAAAAAATCTAAAAACGGAAAACCACTTCACTTAAAGTTTTGTCTTTGCTAATAATGTAATCGTAAAATTAAGTGTTTTTTAACCACAGAAAAGTTAGATAAGATATTATCGTTAAATAAGATATACATTTTTTTGAATCCAAACTATTTATATTATAGAATTTAAACTTGTGTTCTGAATTCAGCTCCAAATTTTTTTTATTTAAATTTGTCTTCGTGCAAGTAAAAATATTTAACACACGTAAGTATGTTTAACACACTTTTTATATACACATAAAACTTTTTTTTTAAATACTTGATCCTCTATTATGTGCCGGATCAAGGAGGGGGGGGGCTATAGCCTAGGGCCCCGAAAATTTAGGGGCCCCCAAAAATTTTAGAGGACTTTTTTTTTTTTTTTTCAGTCATTTTTTGGCTCTGGCCCATAAATAGGCCTCCAAAAACAAAAATAGCCCCAGGCCCCAAGAAGTCTTAATCCGCCACTGACTCTATTATATGTTATCTGATGGTCATGTATAACTTTTTTTGTTTTTTCACTTTTCTAACTTACTGTGCACTGATTCTATAAAAGGTTAATTTTGTTAAAAGTTAACTTTGAGTAAAAAAATTGCCAAAAGGATAGTTTTACATGTAGCTACACATTTTATTGTACCGCTACTGGTAATATAATTAACTTCTTAGTGACCCAGTATCTCATTATCCTTATATCGTCAATTAATGTTATTAGAGAGGGTTTTTCATCATAGTGCTATATTTTTTACATTTGCCCGGTTGTAATGTAATGTAAGGGATTTATTGGTTTACAATTTTTAAATAACAAAAAATTAATTTTTTGAGTTTTGAAAAAAAAGTAACCAAATGAATATTGTGATGAAGCTGCGATTATTGTTCTCGATAATTTGATCTTAACTTTTTCTCATAGTTTCATGTAACCTTTTTCTAGCGTAACATTCCTGTTTTAGCAGTGTTTTACCCAGTGGACACAAGACATAAAAAAGACGTCTTTTGAACGTCTTTAAAACGTTTTGGATTTGTGAATGAATAGTTAGACTAATTGATAAGCAATAAATATGATCAAATTTGTATAACTGGTGTCTTTAATTCGTATTTCCGCTTAGCAGTTCGGCAATACCCCGCTCTACCTTACATTTGAAAATTTTCCTTTGACAACGCAAAGAAGCCATTTTTACTTGCCGCTGGAATAATTATACTACAAAGATTGTACCACAATGAAAAACCATTTTTGGCTTCGTTTCCCACTAGCTAGTCTATTATTTCAATAGGCAAATGACATAATTTTAAAAAGTCTGAAATACGTATTAGCACGTTTGAATATGTGTTTTAAATGTCTTAAACATGTCATGGACCCTCCTTAAGAATAACTATTTAATTGTACAACAAATTTTTTTTTTTAAACAATTGTTCTGCAGCAAATCCATGCAATGATGCATGATATTTCTACAAAACAGAAGAGAAAAAAAAGTTTTATTCGACATTATTTGTTTTAACATTTTAACTGCTTAAATTGATTTTTCAAAACATAAATTTAACACTATAAACATCTTTTTAAGGCTTGGTTTTTGTTGCCCTACACACTTATTCTCATTTAACACAAATTAATTTTAAAAAAATAACCTACCTTGCAATGACACAAATAGAAAAAATACTAAAATGATAATTAGATCCTTCATTCTGTAAATGGAAAAAATGTTCCAACTTATATTTTTCTTTTTTAAACAATCAACTCAGACGCGTTGTAGCAGTGCATCTGTTGAAAAGATTTTTGTATTTTAATTTCAACTTTCGTGTCTTTATATTTTTTTATTGTATGGAAATAAAAGAAATTTGATTTACATTGATGCAAAAATAATAATTGAAAACAAAGTAAAACAAATTAGTATATATATATATATATATATATATATATATATATATATATATATATATATATATATATATATATATATATATATATATATATATATATATATATATATATATATATATATACATATATATATATATATATATATATATATATATATATATATATATATATATATATATATATATATATATATATATATATATATACATATGATTTTTTTTTTAATTTTATATTGAAAGCTAAAACAAATAACTACAAAAAAAGTGTAGTGCCATATTGTAGAGATTTTCCTATTCTATTTAAAGGTATAAAATTTATTTTTTTAATTTCATTATTCTTTTTTGCTAACTATTAAATTCTTACCCTAGTAAAAAAAACTATTAATAAAAAATCATCTTCAAACTATCAAAACTAATTTTTTTCTTTACTAAAGTTAAATTTAAGTTTTACTAAATTAAAGAAGCTTCGTAAAAAATATTATGATGATAAAAATTCTCTTTTCAAAATTGATATAAAATTTTACTTCTCTCTCAAAAATATTTACAAAAAAAAGAGTAAGAGTGTTAGTTGCTTTAAAATGAGCGCGGCTCATTTTAATTGGTTAATAATTAGAAACTAATTGAAACGTAAGTTAGTATATTTCAAATAAGTATAAAATAAGAAAACCTTTGGTTATCTATAGGGATTTAAAAGTCACAAATTCCGGCCGGAGTTTTGGCTGGTAATTGTCACTTTTAGCTTGTTTTGGTTGCGGCCAAATTTATTTTTTACCTTTATTTTTAAACACATGTGACAAAGACTGAGTGAGTTAAATCTATAAGTATTTATCCTACAGGGCAATGAAGAACTATAAGTAAGCCTAGGTAAAAAATACAAATTTCTGAACGAACACAACAATATATGAATATTTTCTTTTTTTCCATTTCAGTAAATATTTAAATATTAACTGAAATGGAAAAAAAGAAAACAAAGAAATAATTTTAAATATAAATATTATGCAAGTTAAAACTTTCACTACATACAAATATAAAAATACAACATATTACACTTAAATTAAACAAGAATCAAATTAACGAAATATATATATATATATATATATATATATATATATATATATATATATATATATATATATATATATATATATATATATATATATATATATATATATATATATATATATATATATATATAGCCACGATGCAAATGTGCATGTTTTCAATTTAATTTTGAAGGATCTATTAAATATTTTAAGCTATATATATATATATATATATATATATATATATATATATATATATATATATATATATATATATATATATATATATATATATATCCATCTTACCTAAAAAATGTTATATTGGGGTATAAAATGTATAATTTATAAAAACAATATAATTTTCAAACGAACTAGGCAAACAACATATAATTTCCAGTTGTTGTGTTTGCAATTCTGTTTGCAATTAAAATTGCTAGCACAGTCGGTGATAACACGGCTGGTATTATATTTTTATATTATTATATATTTTTCATAACCCACAAACCAATATCTTGTCAATATAAAAACTGACTTTAACTAAGTTGCTATAATATTAAACTTAGTCAAAATTTTATTCGCTAAGTTAAACTTTAAATTAATTCCAGTTTGAGCTGCTTAGATTATATACTTTAATCAATGAGTCGATTACTTATTTTAATTTCAGGTAATCAATTTGGCAAATGTGATGAATATTGTACGTATTGCCATTACTAATAACGTTAGGCTATTTTGGTTTACCGGCTCATTCATCCCATGTATATTATCTGTTAGACGTAGGTGTATATTGTCACGTTAAACGAGTTTGGTGCAAATTTCTTTCAGAATTTTATGCATCTACAAACTAGAATCAATAAAAGTTTTTTTCAACAACTAAAACTCTTTTTTTCTGGAAGCATTAACGCAAACACAAGTAATCAAAAATACAAACGAATCAAACGATGCAATATTTCACAGAAAGACACATCAATAAAATGTTTTACAACGCCACCATGTAAACGCATTAAAAAGATTCCAAAACAGTAAATATTATAAAAGTTATAGACCAGCGTCTAAGCGCATCAAGAAACTTATAGTTCATTCTGACAATACAGAAACAGTTCATACTGAAAAGAAAACACGTTTTATCTTAAACACGTTTAAAAT